GTGGCCTCTTCCAGCTCGACTTGCTGAAAAGTATCATTGACTCGATCGGCCAAGTCAAAATAGTCCTTTTCAGGCTTATGTTCCAGCCTGAAACGTCGACTGAATAACGACTTGTAAAACAGGACAATGCTTTCAAATGCTTGACTGTGTCCTTAAACGAGACATCTCATGGTTTCTGAGGCAGAATGAACTTTACGTACCGCCCGTGTTCCCACTGGGCCAGTTTTAGCAGAATGATTTTCACCTTCGTCTTGTCGTCCAGTTCTGCTCCCTCCTCTTCGAACAGTCCTTCGTACTTTCGAAACCAGGCTTCGAAATTCACGCCTCCCTCTGGATTGTAAACGAACTCGGTGATCCGTTGTTCGATCTGTCTCCTCTTCTTCACTCTGGATGCCGGTCCCCAATTCCGCTGCATTTCCGCGAGTAGTGCCATGAAGCTGGCCTGCTGGGCCTCCAGTATGTGTTCCACTTGTTCTTCTGATATCATTTTGCTGCACCTGCGTCGCCAGTTGTTATGACCCGATAGGAAGGTAGGACACGAAGGGAGCCGGTTTGAAGGACAAGCGCTTTAGTCGTAACTTGCGGACACGGCGGGGTTAAAACTCGTAAGAAAGGTGTGCTATTTGTATTGGCTCCCGTGCGTTATGGAACATTCCGTCCAATGACGTGACAGCCATTGAGGGCGTTCTAGAATGTTCCTGCCCCCAGCGTGCTGGTCGCTGATTGGCCACAGCGTGCGCGATAACCCCACCCCCCACCTCCCCACGGAAACGTCTGGAATGTTCGACCAGCCATTGATTGGGCCGCACACGTGAGCCAAGCCACCACGCGTGCTCGGCGCTGCAGTGCACGCCGGTCGGTCGTCCAACTTCACGCGTGGCTCAGGTCGCCGGCTTGGCCCCTGTTTAGCGCCTTAGGCCGTGGCTCTACGCAGCTTTCACTCTCCGTAACAGGCCACCACAATCTTTGCGGCAGACGAGGACATCCAGGAAGGCCAGTTGATTGTATTCCTCCTCCTCCATCGTAAATTGAATGTCCGAGAAGAAGGCGTTGAGATGTTCTTTGAATGTCAGCACTTAATCCCGTTCGGTGATGACGAAGGTGTCATCCACATACAGAGCCCATAATTTCGGTCTGCGGAGTCGAAAAACCAGCGACTCCAGCCGTTGTACGACCGCCTCAGCTATGAGTCCCGAAATCGGCGAACCCATTGGCGTTCCCTTCACCTGCTCGTAGATTGTTCCGTCGAATGTAAAGTACGTCTTGAGACAGAACGTCAGGAGCTGGATGATTTGGGTGTGTCCGAGGCGATTCTCCGTTTCGTCCTATTCCTCTCGTAGGAGTAGTTCGATGGTCTCGACTGCCAGGTCCTGCGGGATAGAAGTAAAAATGGACGTGAAATCAAAGGAAACCATGATATCGCGTGGCAGGAGACTTACTGCTTTAATTTTCTCCAAAAATTGCGCTGACGAGCTGACTTTAGCGTTCGAATCGGAGGTCAAAAACTTGAGATGTTGGAACAGCCACTTTGTCAGTCCGTTGGTTGGGGTACCCTTTAGTTATGGACAGGCCGAAGAGGAACGCCCTCTTTGTGCACTTTTGGGCGACCGTAGAATCGGGCTAGGGCCGTTTCTTGTGCTTTCGCCATGCGTCGGTTGATTGGCGATATTACACCTGAGTTCTCCCTTGCCAACAGCGTCGCGCTAATCTCGCGTGTCAGCATTTTCATTGGGTTGGATTCGCATGGAACACAGGACTGACGATCATCCAACAAGATTTTTGCATTTTGATAGTAGTCTGTCCTGTCCAATACGACCGTTGAACGCCCCTTGTCCGCAGGCACGATAACGAGGTCGTTGTCGGCCCTGAGTTCCTTAAATGCATGGCGCTCGGCCTTGGAAAGCACGTCGCGCGGCCTATGAGCCATGAGGAGGGAGAACACTCGGTGTAAAATGAGGTCCTTCGTTTCGTCTGTCGCTGCCGTCTGTCTGAGGATTGGTTCCACTGCTGCGATCAGGTTGACAGGTTTGGCATCCGCTGTGTTGAATGATGCCTCATGCCGTAAAACCTGCATTTGTTCCTCCTTCACCTCCTTTGACGACAAGTTGTGCACCAGTTTGTCGTTCTTGGATAACATTGGAGCAGGCAGCTTACGAAATTTGCTCTCTAGGGCTGCTTCGCGCGTTGCTTTATGTTCGCGGGTTCGTTCGGCCAGCCTCTGCTGAAGCAGTTTTATGCCGTCCTCGCCCATGAACTCGCATCACCCTGCTTTCTCTTGGTCAATCCTCTGACGGTATTTGCGAATCTGTGAGTGACAATCTTGAAGGAGCACTCGGATCATTCGTCGGCCGTTCTGGAGTACTGCGCGTCTCGCCAGCTGTGTGTTGACCGGAGGTTTGTATGAAACGCACTTCGGCAGCACATTGCTGTCGAGACACCTGTGCAGAAATCGAATCTGCGCACATGTTGGCGCCTCTCGAAGAGCAAAGGTTTCCCACCGTCGAGCCGATCGGAGCGCTTCGCGCCCAAAAATATTGCTGATTGGAGCGAACAGGCGAGTTCCAGGTAGCTGTTCAGAAGATGACGATGCGATCATTGGGACAAGAAATTTATTTGCCTGACGTTTCGGACCCTCACTCGAATCCATCATCAGAGACATTCGCAGGTGAACTCCTGGTTCCACCATCACCTACATCTGCGAATGTGTCTGATGATGGATTCGAGTGAGGGTCCGAAACGTCATGCAAATAAATTTCTTGTTCCAATGATCGCATATTCTCCTTCTGAAATGCTACCTGGAACTCGCCTGTTCGCTCCTATCAGCAGTCGCACGAGAGTTATTTCGCGCAATAATTTAGTCGCCTCACGTTCAACTAAGTTTATGGAGATGTCCATGGATGTGGGCGACAATGCACTGGAAAAACGAATCAAGTCAGTTATATACGTACCAGTTAGCTGCTAAAAGTAGAAAATAAGGCGCGCGAGGATTATCAGCGGGACATTTTGTGAGCAGTAATCATGTGGTGGATTAGACGGCATAATTTAATGCCTCAATTCGGCTGAAGACTGGACGCGCGTATGCTCTTCAGGAGTTCCGACAGTACGGATGGTCAGTTCTCCTTCTACAGTAGACAGAACGGTAGATACAATCACGCCCTTTCGTCCTCTCACATCACACATTTACGACTTATGTATTTCCCTCCGTAGGTTGAATTCTGTTTGACAATTTTCACTGCAATCAAAACCACCCAATCCATGCCAATTCTCACCCAAGAATTTTTGTTCAACGGACACTGCCGTTTATGTATATACACTTACTTTACTACCAATAAAAGCCATAATGCTAGACCCATAAAGCGCTTGAGAAAAAGCAAACACACTCTCTGGAACGAGAACGCTAATTACTCCACTTTTTGCGTATATACTTGGACACATCCTCAGAGATATCATCCAATGTGCGCAATGCAGGCACAAAGGTTTGCAGTATTTTAGTCAGTATCAGTCTGTATATTTGGAGTAAACGACAGAAGCCCTGAAAACTCCACTTAAAGGGTACAGCTGTAATGGAAAATAGTTAAGTTGCAAAACTTTTGCTTGCAGTTTTAGTAAGGAGAATTCATATATCGAATAATGTAACATAAAGGCGAAAGGGGCATAATAATAGCGAAATAATTATTAAAAACTTTGTTCACCGCATTCGGACTGTGAAAATTCAAATATGCGTTAAGTTTGGCGCGCAAAAAAGGATCTGTTAAAATCATGCTAGTAGTATATTTATAGTCATTTCAGTAATCCGTTAGATCAGGCTTCGGCATTTCGGGTTGACTTCAGCAGGTGAGTATCCAGTTGTCTCTTGAACACACCCAGAGTAGGGGAATTAACAACATACTGCGTCAAAGAATTCCATTGTCGAATGACCATCTGTGAGAAAAAGGAGGAATATTGATTCGTGTGACACAGTTCACTTTTAAGCTGCCAATCATGTCTTCTGAGATTGGACTTCGGTGTCAATTCAAAAAAACTTTTCGCAGTCGACAACCATATTAAGTCCTCTTACCAACTGGAACGTTGCTATGAGGTCACCTCTGTCCTGCCTGTAGTGGAGGGTATAGAGGTTCACGGCCGGCAGGCGCTGCTCGTACGTGAAGTTTTTGTGGCCATGAACAGCCTTTGTAGCACGCCGTTGTACACATTCCAGGATATCTATATCCTTCCGTAGCCACGGCCGCCAAGCATGTACCGCATATTACAGGTGCGGCCGCACAAATGTCCCGTATACTTTGTCAAAGACTTCTTTATTCAAGTCTTTATTCAAGTCTTCTTTATTCAAGTCTTAAGTCTTTATTCAAGTCTTAAGGACGTCACCATCTTAATAAACACAGAGCTTGACAGGCTAAATAGCCTGTTTGTCAGCCAGCATTTTTCCTCTTCTTCCTCCCCCCTGTCCCACCTTCCTCAGCTAAGATTTGGAAAAATCTTAAGCGTCTCGCTGGCCATCGCAAAACACTGGTGCATGTGGATGCAGATTATAACTGCCTAAATAAATTTTTTATATTTAGTCACAATGACTCCCATCTTTCCTATGATGATATTCCCCCATCACCGTGTACATTCCAATCCGTGCCTTTGGCAACAGTAGAGAAACACCTAAAAAAGGTCCGTGGACCAACAGCTACCGGGCCGGATGGTGTCTTGCCTTTTCTTCTTAAATCTTGCAGATCTCACATAGCCCCTATTTTAACGCACCTAATCAAAATGTCTTTCATGGAGTCCAAGATTCCCGACGGCTGGCGTATAGTGAGAATCACTCCCATCCCTAAAAAGCCCGCTAATTTCGGCGCTAAATCTTTTCGTTCAATTGCCTGCTCATCTGCCATACTAAAGCTTGCTGTAAGAGTTGTCCTGGATGCCATAAAGCCTTTTCTTCCAGTTTTTCCGATCCTTTACAATTTGCATACAAAGCCAAATGGAGAACTTTAGATGCTGCTGCTCTTGTGGTCCACTCTGCTCTAAAAGCATTAGAAAAGGGTTGCCGCGAGTATGCGTGCGCTTTTCTTGATTACTCCTCCGCCTTCAATACCGTCCCGCGCCCTCTTCTCCTTTCCAAAACCACCGCATGCGGCTCTCCAGTCTGGGTCGTCTATGGCTTAGCGATTATTTTACCTTCCGCATCCAATTTGTCCAACCTGGCAAGCGGAAATCTTCGACCCTTCCCAATGACTGCGGTGTTCTTCAAGGTTCCATTCTATCCCTTCACCTTTTCCCTCTCAAAAGTGACGATCTAAGGTCCCCTAATTACTGTCTTCTGGTCAAGGATGCTGATGATGTGGTTGCTGGACACCCTCTCAAAGGTCAAACACACCTCCGGTCTCCAAAGGATGGCCTAAACTATGTCTTAGCGCGGTCGGAGGAAAATGGACTCCTAATTAACAACCAAAAATCCGTTCAGTGTATTTTTCTACTGCGGCCCTCTCCTAATCCTAATTACTCTGACATTCTTCCTATCGAAGTATCCTCTTTCAGGTATCTCGGCGTTACTTTGTCCTCACATCTTTCATCTTCGCTCCATACTGAGTCCCTATTTATTAAAGTTCTTAGACTTCTTTACTACATTCGTCGTTTACTTTCCTACCACACACATCAACCCTTAGTCTGACGATTCATTGATGCCTGCATTCTTCCTCATAGCCTATACTGCTATCCTGTCATTTTTCCTGCTTTGGTAAAAAAGGATGTTTTAATTTTTAGCGAGTCCTCCGCGTGATCTCTTCTGCTGCTGGTGTTTCTTATCTTATTTTAGTTGACACTATCTTACAACGACACTTCAATGCGGTCAAGCAATTTGCTAGTCAAATTCTAGATGACGTTGCCCATCCCTTGCATTCTGAACTTATGTCTGCGATGTCTTCGCGCCCGATGCGCCGCAGCTTCCGACTTATATCCTGTCGCAAATCGGCTTATGGAGCTTCTGTATTGTCATTCGTAGCGTGCTATATGCCGTGCGAGGAGACAGAAATACAGAAGCAAAGACTTGAATCTATTAACGTATTTACTGCCCATAACGAATGGAGCCAATATTTTGCCGAAAATTTTGAACTTACGATTTCAAAATAAAGCGAATTCCTCTCTCTCTTAATGAATACACCGACATCCACGGTTTTCAGTGGTTGGTTGTCCAGGAGATACTGTCGTGGGGATGCATTTGTTCTTCGTCTCGCCGATACTATGTGATTTACTGCATAGTTTTGACGTTGAGTTTCATGCACCATTTCTCGCTCCATGCGTGCAAATTCTCTACGTCCTCTTGTGGTATCTTGACATCATCTTCATCTTTTATTGCAAAGAGCGCTATTTCCGATTTCACTTCCCGTACTAGGTCATTTACATAGATATTAAATAGGAGCGGCCCAAGAACTGACCCCTGTGGGACTCCACTTGTAGCAGGTGACCATTCTGAGCAGTAGCCACCCGCAGTGACTTTTTGTCGTCGACCGTTTAGGAAATCTTGAATCCAGTTCAGAAGATTTCCTCTTATCCCTACTTCCGACAATTTTTGAATGAGGCGCTTATTTGGAACGCAATCGAACGCCTTGCTGAAGTCGATATAAATGACATTAACTGGATGTCCTTCAACCATGGCCTTTGACCAATGTTCAAGTGACGAAAGCAAGTTTTTGAGGCAGGACCTCTTTTGTCAGAAGCCATGTTGAAGTGAGGTGATGTGACAGCGGAATGTATCGAGCGATGTAATTGATAATTTAACAAACTTTTCCATCAGTTTGCAGCAAATGCATGTCAAACTCACTGGCCGGCAGTTGGTGGGACATACAGTGCGTGACCTATCTCATGAAATGTTGGCTGAAATTCTGAAATGCGTTTTCGATTGGGAAGGATTACTTGGTCGCGGTTGTAATACTGATTATCTTAAGGCATACTTTTATAACATTTTAGTCTCGGCAGGATGTCGGCTTTAAAATGCACTTCGTTTCAATCTCCTGTAGGAAGCGTGCTGGGTAAAAATTAACTACTTAATTAGCATGCATTTTCCCTTTGATTTTCGATGGTCTCGGAAATTCAAATATATTTTATAGAAACCGCAAATAAAAATATCTTTCTTTTAGACAATCAATAGAGAATCACGTCTTCTTTATATTGAATACTTAAAGAAGGAGTATAATTAGGTTTTAAAAAGTTTCTCATTATGAGACATTTTAAGACCGCGATATGTCCATTCACATAGCATCGTACCTG